TATAATAACAGTTACCAATCCAGCATCGAGATGGCTCAATTTGAGGCTTTATAAGGTCGGCGATGTCGTTCGCCCATCGGATGGTTTGAGCCCGGTGAGGCTCGTGATTTATCATTTATGGTGGGTTATAAAGTTCTCTTGAAAGTTTCGCCGATGAAGGGAATCATGAGATTTGGGGAAAAGGGGAAATTGAGCCCAAGGTTTATAGGCCCAATTGAGGTGTTGAGACGAGTTGGGGAGGTTGCTTATGAGCTTGACTTGCTTCCCAATCTATCAGGAGTTCATCTAGTTTTCCATGTATCTATGCTCCAGAAGTATCATGCCGACCTATCACATGTATTAGACTTCGGCACAGTTCAACTAGATAATAGTTTGGGCTATGAAGAAAAACCAGTTGCCATTGTTGATAAACAGGTTCGCCAGTTGAGGTCCAAGAGACTTTTTGCAGTAAAGGTCCAGTGAAGGGGCCAACCAGTCGAGGAAGCGACTTGGGTGGCTGAGGAAGACATGCGGAGCAAATATTCACACTTATTCAGCACTCCAGGTATAATTCTAAACTCGTTCGAGGACAAACGTTTGTTTAAGAGGTGGAGAATGTAATGACTCAACTAGTCATTTTGACTTTTAGAACCCCATTCCCCTAAATAAAACTCCTCGTATATTCTTTTATTAATTTATAACTTACGGGGATGGTTGGTTCGGGATTTGGAAGTGTTCGGGTTGAAATGAGAACACTTGGTTCCTTAAGATGGCCTTAAAATGTTAAGTTTGACTTCGGTCAATATTTTGAGAAAACAACCTCGGAATCGGGATTTGATGATTTCAATAGCTCCGTATGGTGATTTTGGACTTAGGAACGTGTTCGGAATTTTGTTTGGAAGTCCATAGCTAAATTAGGCTTGAAATGGCTAAAATAGAAATTTAAGTTTGGAAGTTTGACCGAGGAGTTGACTTTTTGATACTGGAGTCGGAATCCAGTTCCGAATATTTTTATAGCTCTGTTGTGTCATTTATGACTTGTGTGCAAAATTTGAGGTCAATCGGACTTGATTTGATAGGTTTCGGCACCGAATGTAGAAGTTGGAAATTTTAAGTTTCGTTAAGCTTGAATTGGAGTATGATTCATGGTTTTAGCGTTGTTTGATGTGATTTGAGGTTTCGACTAAGTTCGTATGATATTTTAGAACTTGTTGGTGTATTTGGTTGAGGCCCCGAGGGGCTCGGGTGAGTTTCGGACGGCTAACAGATCATTTTTGGCCTTTGGGAGATTCCTGATAGCTGCTGGTATTTTTCTTCTGATTTCCTTATATGTGATCGCATAAGTTCGTCTGCAATCGCGTAGGGTAATTTGGGCAGAGGTGACTTTGTTCTACGCGATCGAGTGATATAGTTTGCGATCGCGTAGGCTTGTTTGAGGTAGTGATATTTTTGTGCTTCGCGATCGCGTGAATTGGTTTGCGATCGCGTAGGCCTGTAAGTTTGAACTTCGCAATCGCGTGGACATGTCCACGATCGCGTTGGTTTATTTTTGGGCAGTAAGAATTTGTGCTATGCGATCGCGTGAGGAAGTTCGCGATCGCGTAGAAGAAATTACTGGGCAGAGAGTTTAAGTTCTGAAAATAGGACTTCCTCCCATTTTCTATTTTTACCGATTTGGAGCTCGGATTGAGGCCAGTTTTGGGAGATTTTCAGATAAAACAACGGGGTAAGTGTTCTTAACTCAATATTGGTTAAATTACCCGAATCCATCATCGTTTTTATCATTTAATTGGTGAATTAAGTTGGAAAAGTTTGAAAAACTCTCTTGGATAGATTTGAGGGCTGAATTGTTATCGGAATTTAGTAATATTTGTATGGGTAGACTCGTGGTTGAGTGGGCGTTCATATTTCATAACTTTTGCAGGATTCCGAGACGTGGGCCCCATGGACGATTTTTGAGTTCATTTTGGATTTTTATTGAAAAATGTAGTATTTTCTTATGAAATTGATTCATATAATTTTTAGTGATTGTATCGAATTATTTTGGCTAGATTCGAGCCATACAGAGTTGGATAATTGAGAAAAAAAGGCCTACTAGTGGTCTAAATTGGAGCAAGTTAAGATAAGTCTCTTGTCTAATCTTATGAGGGAAAATTACCCCATAGGTGATTAAATTAATAATTGTTGCTAAGTGTGGGGGCTACGTACGCACGAGGTGACGAGAGTCCGTACGTAGCTAATATTTATGCTAAAGTCCGGGTAGTTTAGGACTCAAATCATGAATTACGTGTGTAAATTGTATTCTTTATTTAATTAAATTATTTGTAATATATATTGTGAATTGTTAGGGAAAGATAGTAAAATATGGAAATCTTATATACTTAATTTTCTGTTTAAATTAATTAATTATTAAAAAAATTATTCATCCTCTCGAATTAATCTTATAATAAATACACTCTCATTCCGGAGATACATAAGAAAATGTCCTCCTTTCTTGTGGAACGGGCCGAATGTCTCGGTAGTATAAATGCATCTATGGATCACGTCGCACGTCCCTCGGCAGTGTACACGATACTCTGGATCGGGTCGTACGACCTCGGTAGAAATCGTTCCTAATAACAATAATAATTACACGATACCTTGATATTTTAATTGCATCTTGTGAATTTAATTAATAGATTGGAAATTGTTGCATCTGAAGGAATTTAATTATTTCTGCTGGTTAAATAAAACTATCGTAAATAAAATTATTATTAACTCTGTGAACCATGTCGATTTAAATATTTTTATTTTTATTTTATTTATTATTATTGACCCTTAGTGAGTGTCAAAGTCGACCATCTCGTCTCTACCTCTTCGAGATTAGGCTTGATACTTACTGAGTACACATTGTCTACGTACTCATGCTACACTTGCTGTACTTTTTGTGTAGAACCTGAATATTTTTATAAACTACACTACCATAAATATTTTTATGTATTAAATATATTTAAAATTTCTATACATATAATGTTGGGTTGGTTTGGTTTCGGTTTGACTTTTTTTAGTTAAAACCAAACCAAACCAAATAAGGTCGGGTTTATTTTTCCAACACCAAACCATAGTCGGATTTGTTTTCCCGATTTGACTCGAATTATCGGGTTGATGCGGTTTGTCGGTTTCATTTGTGCACCCTTACTACTAAATATGATATATGCATATTTCCCTGTTTAGTATAGTTTCAAAAGGTTAGTACAAAACTAAGATGGGGCATACATCTTTTGCGTTAGCAATTGATGTTCTCTGATAGAATTTATTTAAAAGCTTTTCCTATATTCATTAATTTTGATATGAAAGAACCTTTGAGGAGATCAAAAGCTACCTACTTCTGTATCAAGTTGATCGGATATAGTAAACACTATAGTTCTCTATTACATTCATTAGTTTTCATATGAAACGATCTTGAGGACATGTCTTCAATGTCTATGACCTGATCTATTTATTTTTTAATTTAACTACACTCTCCGTTCCAATTTATGTGAACTTGTTTGACTGGGCATGGAGTTTAAGAAAACAATGAAAACTTTTGGAATTTGTGGTCCTAAACAAATCAAAAAAGGGCCAGAGTATTTGTGTGGTTATAAAAACTTCTCGTTAAGGGTAGAATTGTAAGTTTAAGCTAAATTATTTACAAATTTAGAAAGTGGTCATTTTTTTTTGAAACGGACCAAAAAGGAAATAAGTTCACATAAACTAGAACAGAAAGAGTATAACTTAGGGGATAAAAGAATAGTCATAAAAAGGTAGAGGAGAAGGATACAACTTTTTATATGTTGTGCTGCTATGCTGATGAGTTGAAGGAAGGGTTCTACCCATAAATTTGCCAGGTTGGTATTTTAATTTTTTTTCATATTTCATATGTTATTGAGTGAAACCTTTTGCTTAATGTTGAGTTAAACAAGTGATGTTAATGCGTGAAAAGGCTGCTCCGACATTAGTTCCACTTCTGAAATTCTATTTTCATAAGGCAGTCAAAGAAGCTGGATTTCTAGTGGTACACAAGAGTGAGTTGTTCCAGTGGTAAGCACCATTCACTTCCAATCAAGAAGTTGTGAGTTCGAGTCACCCAAGATCAAGGTGGGGAATTTTTGGAGGAAGGGAGCCGATGGTCTATCGGAAACAGTCTCTCTACCCCGTTATTGTTGTTGGTGTTGTAGTGAAAGAAGCTGGATTTCAGGTAAGAGTTCTATTGTTTTATTTCCTTTAGTTTCTTTGTTTTCCTACAAATGTTCCAATTATGAATATGATACTGTATATTGGTTTATAGACATTCAAGAGCTGTTATTAAATGGTGACCAAAATGAGGCAGGCAAAGTCAGTTTGTTTTAAAGTGCACCATTGCAATATAGATACCCGAATAACATTGCCTGTGTTGTACTATAAATTGAAAAGCTCATTTTGGGTTAGACAAGGATTTTCTTTAGTAAAGAATGAAAAGATTTTACAAGTGAATGCCCCTGATCTTAAATTGCAGTGGTTATGTGATTCATTGCATTCAATGGATTATAATTTTCCTAGATCTAAAGATTATTTTGCACTTTGCTACTTCATTAGTGTTTTCTTTCAGGAAAGGGATTGATATTCATCAATAGGTGCATAATGTATGGAAAATTTTGAGACTAAAACAACACACTTGTTCTGCATTGCCCTTTGGCAAGACCTTAGAATACTAGAACAGATGTGTGAAATATGAAATATATGGACACATGAAACATAATCAAAACATCTTTCAATAATTTACTTAATAGAAATAGAAAACTGGAGCCTGATCCTCCTATATTGTTGGGTTGTAGCTGTGCAAATAAAACAAACTATTGTGATACTTAATCTAATGTATATCAATGCAGAATAAACACGGGTGGAAACTAAAATGTAATAACCCATAAATTGGTTGACGTATATGAGACGAGCAATGTTTAGAAACTAAAACAAATTCTCATAAAACTAAACCTCAATAAATAAATATAATTTTTTTAAAAAAACTAAACCTCAATAAACGTTAATGGGATAATATTCTCAACAAAACTGCTAACATTATCTAACCTGAAACGATCAGGGAATACCAACGAAGTTGAGGCGCTATTAACACTCCCTGTTGCTAAAACTATGTTTCCACACTCTGTAATTTTCTCACCAACGTTTTTTGGTGCAAGCAAGGCAACCTTCTCGTTCTCCAAGTCGGAGGTAGAGTTAGATTTCACAAAAATTTTGTTGACCTCATCATATACCAAATTGCACCTTTCATGTTGGAAGCGACAGTAGATAGACAACTTTCCCCAAAGTGCAGTTTGCATTTTATTCAGTGTATTCCAACTACTCCTTTGTGGCAACGAAAGAGTTACAAACTTCTCTTCTGTGAAGTTGAAGTAGATAACAGGCCTGTGATACTCAATCCAATAAACTACCCCATTGAGAAAGATACATGTATGAAAACAACATGAAACGGGATACTGATCTCCGCGGATTATTCTCCATGAGGTGGTTCCTAGAGTTAGAATCTTGATCCTTGGTTTTTTCTTGTAGAAAATAACATGAAGCAATTTGTATCTTTCCGTGGCCTGATCAAATCCCAGAAACAACGTAGGACCCCATCCTTTCGGAAGCCTCAGAGAAGATGGTAAAGCTTTTATCTCACCGGTGGTGATATTATACAAGTAAGTTTGAGTATCTTTACGGTTATAGAAACAAACAAGGCCATTGTAATGATTTGAGCAAATAGTAATTTCATTAAAGTCGAAATAATGACGAGGACGTGCGAGCTGTAAAGAGAATCCTTCAAGTTGTGTTGGGAAATTGGAAGTGCTTTCTACAACTTCACGATGGCGTGTTCCTATTTCAAATAAGAGGCGGCTGGCAAGAGGACGGGTTTGAGAACGAGCATTGTGCAACTTGACAAAGTGGGGATCATGTCGTATGAAACTGTTCCAAGCTTTAGAAACACACCTGAATCGCATCAGAGATTTCGCCGGAAGCCATGTTAATATCTCGAATATCATGTCCCTTGCAAATCCACGCTTCTCCTCCATCCGCCGCTTTTTGGTGGTAGTAATTGTTACTTCACTGAGGGTTCCTTCCATGTTTGTGCTATATGAGAAGCCTCACGTTACGCTACGCTATGCGTCTCTTTGTTCTCTACACTCATAACAAAGTTGAGAAATTAACCCTAGTACTATTTGGTTATAAATAACTTGGTAACCGGCCGGCCATCAAGTGCTGACTGGATTTTAGCCCAAGTTTTCCATATATATTTGAGTTGGATTCCTACTAGGATTTTAGCCGCAAGTTTTCAATATATTTGAGTTAGTTGAGTTGGATTCGTTTTAGCCGCAAAACAATATTAGAGTTGGCTACCTATTTTCTTCACCCAAAAAAAAACTAGGAATATGTAGTCACTATTAGAAAACTGGCAAAATTCGTCCAAAGAATACCGACCGAAGTCAGTCGGAAAAAAAACCGACCGAAATCGGTCGGAATATTTGAAATTATGATTTCCCGCCCTAGGTAATTATTTTTTAATATAACAAAAATTATATATACCAACAGGAATAAGTTATAATTAAATATTTCCGACCGAGTTCGGTCGGAAAAACAATTTTAAATAATAAAATATAATTGTAATAATATTACCGACCAAAGTCGGTCGGTTTTTTTCAACCTTTATATAAATAGCTTTTAAATAAATAATATTTAATACTTAATTGATATATATATATATATATGTACATAATATTTAATTGATTTAAGATCCAATTTTAATATTCAATATTTAATATCGAATGTAGCTTATATTCGATATATATAGCTTATATTCAATATTTATTCGATATATATAGCTTAATATATATATA